GGTTATCCATCAACGATAATTTGCATAAAGATTTTAAATAAAAATTATTTCAATATAAAGAAAGTGGTTCGGTTATGTATTCAAATTAAGGCAACGCTTACATTTATTGTTCTTATTTATAGCAGTTGATTACGTCTCCAGAACTTCGGGAGTAGCAAAAACATTTCATTTGTCATAGCAGGCACTAAGCATTTCCTATACTTCTTTTGAGAACTTAATTTATCTAATGCTTCACGATCTTACTTCTAAGATTTCGTAAATGCGTTCACCTCAGTATGCGAGTTATGATCAAACTTTTACAAATTAAGGCATTTTGCATGCAGCACTCGACATACGGTATTCTGTTTACCGACTTCGATCGTTACGTGATGAGGTTCTTTTCAATCTGTATGTGACACATACAACTGTTGTTTTTTATTTCTGTAAAAACACGAATTTTCAAAAAAAAATTCAAGGTAAGAAAAGGAATGCAAACAGCAAAGCTGCTAATGCACAGTACGTACCTTTTTTGTCTGGCTTAATAGTAAATGAGTTTTTCTGAATGTTAACCAGGTAACCAGAATCACCAAGTAGGAACACGGGCGGCATGCGGTAGCTCCTGGCCAAATGGAAAGGTTCTTGCAGGTTTTCCTTGAGCCATACTCGGCAGTTTTTGAGAGTACCGGCCGTGATTGAGTCATTGATTTTTTGATAGAGGAATGTTGCGTTGTATCCTACAGGAGGAAAGAAAAGGACTTCATAAGGATGCAACTGAATATAATATTTAAAAATAACTTGCTGCATTCGAAGCGACTGAACACATTTCAGGTCATTTGCTTATGAGGAAAAAACATTAACATTAAGGGATTCTAACCTGGTTGCGGCCAGAGTCCGACCAGTCCCGGAGAGTTACTTCCTTTGTACATTTTGCTATATGTTAAAACCTTATGAAGCTCGATTCGATTCTGTAGAGGTATTTGTGCCATGCCATGTTCTGCCGTCACGATGAGATTCAGCTTCCCGTTGAGCTCCGGGCTTGCTTTCATCCTCTGTAACAGATAGGCAATTCCACCATTAACTTGCTCGATAGCATCAAGAGTTTCGTTTGAGTCTGGGCCAAAAGTGTGAGCAATGTGATCGGGCTCGTTGAAGTAGAAGGCACAGAAGTTGAATTCATCGCGAGT